ATATAAACGAAACAAAATAACCAGCAAAATACAGCCATGGATTTCGTTCGGATTTCATACAACCGGAAAAGAATGAGATAATAAGTCGTGGTAAAGCTAGCAAAACTAAAATACATGGACTTATAATCAGATGTTTATGTTGTTGAAATTCTTTACGAAGATGTTGACAATATGTTTGTTGTGTACGTGCAATTGAACGCTTGCGTGCAGTTGTAAGAATAATAATAAATGCCGAGATAAAATTAATTGCAAATGGGAGAATAAAATGTGTAATGTTGAGTCCCGTGTTAAAAATATTTAACGATGGTAAGTGAACATAACTAACAACACACCATGTACGCTGATCTTCTTCATCTACAATTAGACGTCGATTCAATGGATCATGTATTGCAATGGTAATGGTAAAAACGATAACAATGACGGCAACCACTTTTGATGCCAGCAGACTTATCGATTTACTGAAATTAGCACCAAATGTTATGGTAACAGCGCGTTCAATAGCTACACATGCGTTAAGCCAATCTCCAACTGGTGTCAGAAACTCAAATAAAAATTCAGTTAATTTACAATTTACATGGAGAAATGTTACATTTGTTATTAAGGCCATTTGAGTAACTAATAAGTCCCAAAACTTTAGCGTGAACACAATCATAGTTAATAGAGAAGTAATCGATGATGTTAGTAGATAAATTCCACAGCCAACCTCCCTTGTGTTGTGTTATAAAAATGTTATAAGTGAAAAAATATTCAACACTATACCAAGTACGAACATAATCGTGGTTAAAGCAATACTCAGTTGAATAATGAATTCTTGTTGATTTATTTTTGACAAATGAGTTCAAACTTACAGATAATAACTAGGTACATGACCACTACTCATATAAAAAATATAAGTCCAATTAGACCTCCAGGAGCCGAGAAATGAAACTTTTCCGAAAAAATTTGAGTTTTTGTGTGAAAACTTGAAAAATTTATAACTCTGCCAGGAAGCACCATGGGGATGAACCAAGACAGAGTATTTCACTACTCGTTAGGGCCTTTCTAACAAACATAGTCCCAACCTGAAATCGATTTATCACCTCGGGTGGTTCCCTCGTGAGCGATATATAGATATTAGATAATATTCTTCGGGGAAGAAAAAATGTTAATGAAGCTTCAAAAATGTTTTAATAAAAGTTCGCGTACTTTATGTAGGAGAAACGCTTTAATAAAAGTCACGAATCCAGAAAAAGAATTCCAGTTGCAAAAATAATTTTCTTTCTTTACAAGAAACGTTTTGCTTTTCAGGAGTGAAAGTACGAATAAGAGAAAAACGGAAGAATAGGCAAAAGAAAAGGCGGTGAGGGCAGTCTGAGAGTGAACTCGAAAGGTAGTTTCACACAATAGATACTTTTATCACTTGTGCAAATTGTGTAAAAGTGCTAATCTGGTTTGTCAGTACTAGAATGAAACTATATTCAAACATTTTTCTCGAGTATATTCAGTAGTACTCATGGTTTTAATTAGTCTCTAAAGTTTAGTTTTCTTAGCATCTATTTCCAAAAACTCGCGGAAGAATCGGTCGTGGAAAATGTATACGACAGAGTCATTTGCGGAATAGTCGGTGAATCCCGATTTTCAGGTCCTTAGTTTATAATTCTGTTTACCAAACTTCCATCAGAATGTCTCCCGTAAAGTGCTTGTGACGTAAAGTAGTTTCACACAATAGATACTTGTATCACTTGTGCAAATTGTGTAAATTTTCTTCAACTTTTAAAGTGCTAATCTGGTTTGTCAGTACTAGGATGAAACTATATTCAAACATTTCCTTTTTCTTTTAAGAAAACCTATTTTTGAGTAAGAGAAAAAGGTATATAACTCTTGTTCATAGAGTGCATCCAGCTGGAAATTAGGTGAAAAATCGAAGTTGCTCCTAATTCAAATACAAATAGTGGAAAATGTAGCCCTTTCAAAGGGCTATCGAATGGTATATAAATGTCTATTTTGAAAATGGTTCCTACGACGAGAAAT